ACCATTCTGTATTTTTGTGATTAATGACAATAGTACTTATCAGTTTAAGCTTCTGTAGATTTTCTACTTCGATAGCATGAAATAAAAATCTTTTATGACACTGTTAAATTATAATTTCTTTGATTTAAAAAAAAGAATGAATAGCTTATCTTAGGGTGAGGTGGTCATAGATTTATATACACTGGAGGCCATAACATTATAGGGCATGTTATATAATACATAGAGCATCTTTTAAGTGTGAGAAAAAATAGCATTGATAAGATGTGAACCATGTGGAAGTGTGTGTCATAAAGAACCAAGTCCCCTTCAAACTGTTCCTTGAATTGCTAAGAAAGAATGAGCTCCCAAAGGCTTTGCATAACTACTTCAAGAATTACCTCACAGCAAAAAATGTGAGGTTATGTACTGAAAACATTTCAGCCTCAGGAGCACATCCCTGATATTTATATTCTCAGAGACGTTCTTCCTTTAAATTTGCTTTTAATTAGAAAATTGTTTGACTGTAGCAAGTGGCTCCATTTTTCTAAGGAAGTCACTCATAAGTATGTGTCTTCCCTTGTGCTGGCCTTGCATCACATCTCCTAATATTTCAGGTGTTTCATAGCTGACAAAGGACAATGTGAGATGCATTTTCATGGTTCCAAGACAGCTGCACTTGTTTGTTGCTTTTTTCACAATATTCCTTATCTGTCTCAAGTTTGAGTCTGCAGGAATGGTCCTGTAAGAGAGGGCAAAGCCCACAGCTACATAATGGGCAGAGAAGGAAATTCAGAAAGGATTCTCCCTACTTATCAGATTGTAAAAGGGATGGTGGGAGATTTGAAGGTTACAAGTTACTAAATGAAAAGTATACACATCTCCAGTAATACTTACTCTAATGAAGTTTTATATTGCTAAAATATAATAATGGAAAATCCTGTTAAATCAGTTAATATACTTAGGTAGCCCTGTATTTTGCTCTTGAAGTGTTATAATAGATTTTATGGGAAGCTTATAAGTAAGATAGAGCAGTTCCCCAGGTACCAATATGATTAATAGCCATCAGTAGATAATCTCTCTGAATGTCTATAATTCACTTTTATACCTGCTGATAATTATCACTATTTTTGTGGTTGCAAGTTCCATAGCTTGACTGTATATAGAATGAATTACATCTGGGTCCTTCCCAAATTCCCTGTTGCTCTGTTTTGTTAATGACTGCTTATACAGGTTGTTCAAGACTATGGATACTTTTATTCATCTTTGTATAGTTTCCATGTCTTGCTGGTGTTATTTTCTAATCTTTGAGTAACAATGTTGCTTTCTGATTGAATGGAAAATTAACCGCATGCTTTGATGATATTGGTCTGGTGCTAATAACAGAAGGATTAATTGTACAATTTTTTAACATTTCTTTTCAATTAAAGCTGTAAATCTAATATATCAGTTTTGCACAGTTTGGTGAACTGATATGAGTTCACATTTCACAGCAATCATGGGAAGGAAGAGATCTTTCCAAACCATGGCAATAGCATTTGTTCCTATAGCTCAAAAAAGTAAGTAGTGTCTTTTAGAAATAAGCAGTGGAAGATATTCTGCATCCATTTCAGGCTCACTTCTCATTATAGGCAAATCAAAAAGCCACATGATGTACCACTTGTTGACAGCAGTTCCAGCAATCCCAGTTACTTTCATTAAGTGAGGTCCATGCAGGTAGTTAATAATAATAATAATAATAATAATAATAACAATAATAATAATAATAATAAAGTTGGAAGGGACCTTGGAGGTCATTGAGTCCAACCCCGTGCTCAGGCAGGAACCCTATACCATTTCAGACAAATGGCTGTCCAGTCTGTTCTTAAAAACGTCCAGTGTTGGAGGCAGGTTGTTCCATTGGTTAATTGTTCTAACTGTCAGGAAGTTTCTCCTTAGTTCTAAGTTGCTTCTCTCCTTGATCAGTTTCCATCCGTTGCTTCTCATCCTGCCTTCAGGTGCCTTGGAGAATAGCTTGACTCCCTCTTCTTTGTGGCAGCCCCTGAGATATTGGAACACTGCTATCATGTCCCCCCTCGTCCTTCTCTTCGTTAAACTAGACATACCCAATTCCAGCAACCGTTCCTTATATGTTTTAGCCTCCAGTCCCCTAATCATCTTTGTTTATTTATTTATTTATTAAAATTTATAGACCGCCCAACTCCCGCAGGACTCCGGGCGGTTAACAATAAAAACACAGCATTACATAACAAAACAAATAATACAATAACATTCATCCAGGGGTCAGATTTTATAAACCCCAGGCCTGCCGGAAAAGCCAGGTCTTAAGCAGCTTGCGGAAAACCAACAGGGTGGGAGCGGTCCTAATCTCCGGGGGGAGCTGATTCCAAGACGTGGGCGCCATCACAGAGAAAGCCCTCCCCGCAGCCCCGCCAAATGGCACTGCTTGGCCGATGGGACCTGAAGGAGGCCCAGCCTGTGCGATCTAACCGTATGAAGGGAATTATGAGGTAGTAGGCGGTCTCGCAAATAACCTGGCCCTGAGCCATATGGAGCTTTAAAGGTAATAACCAACACCTTGAATTGGAACCGGAGACCAATAGGCAACCAGTGCAGCTCACAGAGGAAAGGTGTAACGTGGGTGTACCGAGGAGCACCCACTATCACTCGCGCAGCTGCATTCTGGACCAACTGTAGTCTCCGAATACTTTTCAAGGGTAGCCCCATGTAGAGCGCGTTGCAGTAGTCCAGACATGAGGTGACAACGGCATGAGTGACTAAGGAGAGCCTCCCGGTCCAGGTAGGGTCACAACTGGTGCAACAGACGAACTTGTGCAAAGGTCCTCCAAGCCACAGCCGTCAAATGATGTTCCAATTTCAGCTGTGGGTCAAGGAGGACACCCAAGTTGCGAACCCGCTCCGAAGGGGGTATATTTTCCCCTGCTAGAGTCAACATTGGACAGTTAACATGATCCTTGGGAGGCAACATCCAAAACCACTCAGTCTTGTCAGGATTGAGCCTGAGTCTGTTAACCCCCCTCACGGCTTCAAGGCAACGGCCCATCACATCAGCCGCTTCACTGAGAGAGCTTGGGGAAGAAATATATAGCTGGGTATCATCAGCATACTGATGAAACCTCACCCCGTGCTGTCTGATGATCTCACCCAGCGGCTTCATGTAAATGTTAAATAGGAGGGGGAGAGGACTGACCCCTGCGGCACTCCACATAGGACTATTCAAGGGGCCTCAGGCTTGACCTCTGCCCCCACCAGTACCGATTGCGACCGGCCAGAGAGGTAGGAGAACCACCGTAAAACGGTGCCTCCCACTCCCACCCCTCCCAATCGTCACAAAAGGATACCATGATTGACAGTATCAAAAGCTGCTGAGAGGTCAAGTAGCACCAAGACAGAGGAATAACCCCTGTTTCGGGCCCGCCAGAGATCATCCATCAGCGCGACCAAAGCAGTTTCTATGCTGAAGCCGGGCCTGAAGCCAGATTGAAAAGGGTCTAGGTAATCCGCTTCATCCAGAGACCGTCGGAGCTGGAGCGCCACCACTCTCTCTACAACCTTCCCCAAAAAGGGGAGATTGGAGACTGGACGGAAGTTATTTAAATCAGCCGGGTCCAGGGTAGGCTTCTTGAGAAGGGGCCTCACAACCGCTTCCTTCAAGGGTTGCGGGAAAGACCCCCTCCCTCAACGAAGCGTTGATCAACACCTGGAGCCAACCTCGTGTCACCTCCTTGGCGGCCGAGACCAACCAGGAAGGACACGGGTCTAATAAACAAGTGGAGGCGCTCATTGCTCCCACCGCTCTGTCAACATCCTCAGCGGTCACAGATTCAAATTCATCCCATAAAACTGGGCTAAGACCTGCCCCGGTCATCTCAGAAGGCCCTGCCCAATCGGAGTCTAGGTCTGTCCGAATCCGAGCGATTTTGTCTGATAGAAACTGCACAAATTCTTCCACCCTACCCTGTAAGGGGTCCCCGGCTCCCCGAATATTAAGTAGGGAACGGATCACCCTAAACAGGGTGGCGGGGTGAGATTCTGCAGCCGCTCGTATCGCCAATAAATAAGTCCTAATATAGGCTCTTAAAAGTGTCCGGTCGGGTTCGGAGTTACTAGCTCTTCTCTGTACTCTGTACTCGGAGTTACTAGCTCTTCTCTGTACTCTTCTTTGTACTCTGAGTTGTTGCTCTTCTCTGTACTCTTTCTAGAGTCTCAGCATCTTTTTTACATCATGGTGACCAAACCTGGGTGCAGTATTCCAAGTGTGGCCTTATTAAGGCATTGTAAAGTGGTATTAATACTTCATGTGATCTTGATTCTATCCCTCACACAACTACAGCTTCCGAATTCTTGCTGGCTTCCCCATTAAGTTTTCTTGTTGGAAGTTGGCAGGGAAGATTGCAAATTGCAATTGTGTCCCTGTGGGATGCTGCAATGGGTCTAAGTACAAGGACAGGTCATAATTACCACTTTTCAGCACTGTTGTAAATTCAAACAGATGCTCAATGTATTGTTGAATGAGGACTAGCTCTACGTATGCTTGAGGTTTCTTACAAGAATAAAATAAAGTTACTAATTAAGTCACAAACTACAATTATACAGCTTTGCAAAAGCTTTATAAGCGAAGAAATACCAATTCAGGTATTTTACACATTAGATTATATACCACAAATATTTGAAAATCTTAAATTTAGAATAATCTATTGAAAGATTTTTTGAAAATATCTCAATAGTATGTTGCTTATATAAAATAGAATTTGCAATGGGTATACTGTAATTCTCAAATTATTCCCAAATTATGTAACATAATAAAACCGCTACTTACTATATAAAATATTATCCAGATCCAAAGAAATTTATACACACACACATCTAAGTACACTATAAACCACCTGAGTGAAGTTAAAGGAATCTGTTGTTAATGGCTACTGATTTATTTACTGTAGAATGTTTTGTTACTGCTTTGCAGATTTATTTTAAATTTGTTTTTATATATACATATTTTGCAGGATAAAGAAGGAGTGGAAGCTGTTTCAGTAGGGGCCATTCTTTCCGATTATCAACGAGTCCGTGTGGAAAATGTGTAAGTAAAATAAGATAAGTGTAAAGGCAACATGCCATACAGAGCTATTGATTTCAGTGGTGTGGACTAGATCAGAAACATTATTGCTTTTATGTCAAATAAGATGGCATAGTAATAACATTTCATTAAATATTTCATTAAGTGTCTGCATGGTGCTAAACATATAATTATCAAATCAAAAAGATTGAACTCTTAAAAATGGGAATCCTATCAAGATAGGGAAGATAAGCTATATGTTTCCTATTTTATATGGGCTTTTGTCTTCTAACAATATAGATTTCATGAACTGAAGCCCATCCTTTCCTGTTAAACCTTGAGTAATTTATCTAAACATGTAAGAGTTGAAAGAAAACAAATACATTTGCTTCTATAACTTTAATAGGGGTATTTTAATAAAAGAAATATGAAAATAATCCTTTTGTAATCTATTGTCACCTGTATTTACTTCACATAATCATATGCATTTGCTACATGCTTCGCAACTGCCATTTGGATGGCTTGTAAATTGTGAAGTCTAACATTGTCATATTGCAGGAAAATTTCCTTCTTGTGGTTCCAAACTCTACTCAGTCATTGCTTTCAGAGTTTTGAGTGTTGTAATATAAAGTTCTGAGTTCAGTGGTACATGGTTCAAGAAGATCCCTGGGAATAACATGATCTGTACTATGAATTTTCTTGACAAAGCCTGAGTTTTGAATTTATTTAGTTTTGCAATTATATTCTATTCCATGGATTGACACTACACTTCCGTATTACAAGGATGAGCCCATGTTTCAACAGCTATCATGATGCTGTAAAAAAATCCATTCTTGTATTAGGACAAGAATTATTGCAAATTTCAATTCTTGAAGATTTTGTCTGTGCTGTCAGCTCGGGTGGAAGCCATCTTGCACAAAACGTCTGAAGAACTGTTCATAGCAATTTCTGTTTGAGTGGTCTGTCAGTTGTCCTTACTCAGTTCATCAATCTTTTTCTTGTGTTCTGTTGCTATTACACGTTATCCTTTTTGATCAGTTCTTCTTGGTTCATTGTTACATTTTTGGCCCAGCAATGAACAGTACTCATGTCAGCATAGTCATCACCATAAACCATCTGCATTCAGCAATGGGTTTCAATTGAAGATGCACCTTAAGTAATCAAAGCTTCAATCATAATACATTGCTGAAAGTGCACTGATAAACTAGTTACTTTTTTCACAGTAACTTTCCACTAATAGAAATGAAAGAACAAATGCTAATGAATGCATCAGAGTTTCTACTGCCATTTGTTGGGAATTTTGATGTTTAAGTTAAACTTGGGTAAATAATGTTGCTATAGTGGTCCCAAATGATACTTTCTGTTTGGTGATACTTTGAACGCATGAAAAATGTTTATTTGGAGAAATTTTTTTTTTTTTATTTGAAAAGAACATATGAAACTTACCTTCTTACACTATTATTTTAAGATCTAATTAGCAACTTTTGACATAGTACTGAAATGCTACAGTGTTTTTTTTTTAATCTTGTTCATTTTATTTTAGACAGTTGGGAACTAATTGCGTGCCATTCTGATATTTCTTTTTTATTCCAGTTTAGCCATATGAAATATATAATAATATCACTCTTTTATCTGACGCATTCTGTGGATGTTCTGGGTATAACCAAAAAGCCTAATCTATGTTACCTTAGAAGCCTTCCAAGTTTGTGGAAAATGAAAGGGACGAAATAGTATGGGATAATGTATGATTACTGCAGGTGCTGTGCTTTTTTATGAAAACTTAATAGCTGAGCATGTAGCTAACCAATTTTGGGGAATGATGCAAAGTGATTTTTCTGCTTGCCTTAGAATGATACATATGACTGTACTTTCAGGACAACACCCAATGTAGCAAATAAAGTTGATTTTTTAAAAAAATCAATGGCTAGCCATTGACTCTCCAAATTCCAGGTAGTTGCTTTATTACATATTACCGAGGCAGCATTGCTTGAATTAATCAAATGTGTAATGAGCACTCCTAGCGAAGTAAATCTCCAGAGGTTCACGTCAGTCAGAATGCACATAATATTTGTCTAGAATCTTTACCTCTAGAAAAGAAATCCCAGAGGGCATTTGGCTAAATTCCCAAATAAATACATTTCTCCTTACCCCACTGAGGTTAGCAAGCAAGGAAGGACTTTGCCCGAGGGTTTTTTTTCTTTGTCAGTTTAGTGAAATATGGGGCTACAGGGAAGAAAAAGGACAAAGTCTATCATTTAAGAAGGAAAGAATTACAACCAGATTTCTAGATGCAGAAATATCTGGCTGAACGTGTCATTTCATTCTAAAATGCGTGTGTTCAGAGCTTTGCCTGACTCTTTTCATAGTTATTTTCCTCTGAAACTCAGCATTTGTTTTGTCTGAGTGTACCCTTGCTTCTGATTACTCTTTCAATTAGCGTTGCCACTCTCACAATCCATTCATGTTGTCATTGCTAGTGCTGCTCCACCCACACCCGCATCACCATCTTCGCTTTCTCTTCTTCTCCCCCCCTCTTTTTTTTGGGGGGGGGCTGTTTTCAATTTTTATAAGCTAGCATTTTTAAGCACGCTGTTTTTGTGCCAACATACCACTAGTAACATATCTCAGATACTCTTGGCCTCTCCAAATTGAATACCAATTGCTGGATCTTAGCTTGGGTTTTTCTTTCTTTCAGCAGGTAGGGAAAACATGGCCTCCCTATTAATCTTCTTCTGATGCCCCTGATTGAAGGGGGTGGGTGGGTGGGGGGAGAATGGAAAAAAGCCAGTGGAAATTGATTTAAGTGAAGAGCTATGGTGACCTTAAAGTATTGGTGATGTGTGTTGTCACTGGATAGTTACTATTTAAGTGGGATCCCATAATGTCATTCCATTTGTAGATGCCAGAAGAAATGCTTAAAATCTATATGGTTGCCCTCTACATCTGCTATGCAAGTTTAAGAGATACTCCAGAACAGATTGGGGCTTGAGCAACAGATTGTTTAGGAGGTGTGGAGCAGAACAATTTCATTGCAAGTGGAAGTGTGTGGATTCAGTGTTGCATTTAGCTCTCATTTTCTTTATTCTTACTAATATATACCTATTGTAATTTTCTAAATTAAGCAGTGTTACTCAGAAAGTTAAATGATCTGTGTTTATAATGACACATCTATCTTTTTTTTCTGCCAACAGTTGTAAAAGACTTGCTCTGCAGCCTTTAGCATACCTGTGGCGTCAGAATCAAGACACATTGCTGAGAGAAATTATATCCTTGAAAGTTCAAGCCATAATAATAAAAGTAGCAGCTATCGGTAAGAATTCAAACTGTCTCTAGTAACTGTGGTGAATCTACTTTGTCAATAAGTAGTCAATACCATAAAATAGCCACAGGGATGTATTAATCTGTTTTGTAATTAAAATGTACACAAGGGCAGAAAACTGCATCAGGACTAAGTGAAGTATGGAAAAGAAGTATGGAATACATACACACACAGACACATACACACATTAATATTAGCTAACGAAAAAAAGTTAAAAAAATCATTTGACTTTCTTCATTACATTTGCAGAGAATACATTTTTCAAGAGAAATTCATTTATAGAATAATCATTTTCATAAGAGTTATACAAATGCTAGAAATTGGATCACTGTTACTATAAATTATAGGTGCTTCTGATGAAAAGAATTAAGTAAAACCTTTACTAACATCAATCAATAAATGACTTTGTATGCTCAAAAAGGTATTTTCCTGCTCTATCTTAAGAAAGTCTGTTCTAAATTATAAAGAAAAGATGTTTATTACTATCCTGATTTGTCCTTTCTGTATTCAGGCTATTCTGTTCTATCCAGATTTAGCTGTATATGTTACTCTGTTACTTTACTTATGTACATGGCTCCATTGTAGCATTCAGCAAAATTAATTTACTACTTGGTATTCAAGGACAATTGGGTTTTGCAATTTAAAAAAATAATTGCGTGCAGAAGAAATTTCAATGGAATCCAAAATCACCACATTGACTTTCATTGACAAAATTGTGATTTTACATATTGAACTGATCTATTGTAGAAAATATTTGGCCACTAAGATCAGTCCAAGCAGAGTATTAATACATTCAAGCTTACTGAATGGTATGTGGTTCTTTAACTACACAAACTGATGAGAAATAGATTAATAGGCCAGTACATCATTTCAGAATTACAGTCCTATCTGTAGTGTTTCAAACAAAGTTATTAGATGACATCTTGGGTGTAAAATTTGATAAAAAGAGGGTTTTTCTTTTGGGGTCAGTAGAGGTTTGTGGCCCATTAGACCAAAGAATGGCCAATCTAATATGAAAGAATCTGTTCTACATGAGTGGCTAAAAATAAATTTCTGATAAAGTTCACAGTATAATTTTGGTGTGAATTAAATCATACAGTCCACCATGAGGTGAACTGTTTTTATAAAAATTAACCTTTTTTAAAATAGGAATTCATTTACTAGGAGTAGAAATGATAAGAAAAATAATTCTTCAGGTGTCATATTTCACCAGAATCATTTTATTTTATATCACTTCTGATAAGAACAGTCAAATAAGACCATCCCAACTTTATTTAGTGCTTTCCTAACGTTTATACTAATTAGGAGAAATAATTTTTTAAAATTTATTTGTAATCACAAATTACAAGATAGTTAATTTTGCAGGATCTGTGTCAGTTTCTGCAGCAAACTCTAGCTTTTTAAATCTTTTAAAATCTATTATCTGTGAAGAAGGCAAGAACTTGGGATTCAGAAACAGAAAACATTTTATTTTAAGATATCATGATACAACTAAGTATATAGTTGCAAGGTATAACCAGGTTATGTTGGTTAGTTCAGCGGTCCCCAACCTTTGCGGCTTGGTGTCCTGGCTGGGATGGGAGATGGGAACTGGGCCATGTGAGTGCTGGGCTGGCTTGCGCACACACAGCCCTTGTGCAAGGGTGGGCCAGCATGCATGTGTACTAGTACCCACCACTTTTGCAAGTTAAGTTGCACATGCATGAGCTCTGGCCAGCCACTCACGCAGTCCAATTCCTAATAGGCCTCAGCCCAGTAGTGGGCTGCCGCCCGGGGCGTGGGGATAGATATTTATTATGTTCCAGAATTAGCTATGAAATGGTTGCAATTTCAAGAACATATTTTGTGCTGCTTCTGAATATCCTTTTGAAACTTGGAGCCTGCATTCATACATTTATACAGTTTTTGCGCTTAAACAGTGTTCTATGCACAGTGTTCTATGTTCAAGTGTAATGTGGCCTTGGAAGATGAGCTGAAAGCCTCAAGTAAAGGACAAAGTTAGTATATACATGACTAGATAGGATCACATTATATCAAATCCAAAAGGACAACTCTTTTTGCCTCTTGGCTTCCATGACCAAATTTTACATATTTTTTCCCAAATTAGGAATTTAGCTATGACTGTTTTTTGAAATATTTTATGAAAGTGCAGCTAGTTCCGAATTAGCAGGCCTTTGTTGAGAAGACAACACATTTCTGTTTGCCTGGGAAATTTAAACAATTTAAATTATGCTGTCTCATTCCTATGGCTTTCAAAAACTTGCCTCATTGTTTTATTGTTTCTATTGTATTTAGTACTTTACTAATTGTAAACGCTGGTCCACCTAGGGAAGAATATCTTTAATAATATTTTGAAATTAATTATTTTTTCTCCTCCAAATTGTGGTCATTGAGGATCAGTTGGGTTTTCAGTATAAACTTGGCTATTAATGTCTCTAGAATGTTCTTACGATTAAGCCCAAACTCTACAAAATGCAAGTTACCACTATATATGCAATCCAAAATCTTTTCTTTTTTTTTTTTTTAAAAAAAGGGAGGGGAGAGAAATGGGCAGATTCTGAGTGACAATAGAAATGACTGCAGGGGCTATTTTGCCAGTGACCTGTGTCATCCCTTAAGTAAGATAAACTTCTCTTTGTATCTCAGTAGCTTGGAACAAGTTGGAATGTGCTTACTGATATACAAAGAACTTTCTGTGGCATTTTTTCTTCAGAGCACAAATACCATACATAGTTGTAGATAGTAATTAGATAGAAAACGTCTGCCTCTTTTTTTCATTTTTGGCTACAGGTAGAAAGAAAGATCTTATCAGACTAAATTTCTCACTTGCCTAGGGCAGCAATAATTAGACATAAGCAAATTTAATGGAGCTTCTCTGCTCCAGAGGGCATACCATAGTGCTTTAATAACAGTGTGCTTTATTAAAGGAGGTTTAAGGAATGATCGCTGTTTAACATATCGAATGGCAGAGAAGTTAAGGTATGGGTTACCATTTTATTTTTAGATGAATAATCAAAGCTGCTTTTAAACTAAATTGCAGTAAATGTGTTTGGAATAACCCATTTAAAAGGCTGAGTAGTAATGCATGTTGCGCTGAAGTGAAAGAAATCAGTGAATATGTAACGTGAGCCTGACATTTATCAACCCTGGCATGCTCCTATAGCTATGTTTTCCATTAGTTTAATGGCATTGGTAGAAAGGTGTAAGATTATAGGCAACATATAATTATACAAGTAAATACACATTAATTCCAGAAATCTCTTTTCAGTTGGCACTTATAAATTAATATCTCTGGATGATGACTTTCTGACAAGGGCAATGTTTTCCCCCCCTACTTTTCCTTAATCAGAAATCCTGCTGTAACCTCTTTTTCCTCATAATAGTACAGAAATCCACTTCCATTAAAGGATTCAGAGAATTGTTGTTTCTATAAGGAGACTGATCTACAGTGAATAGGTTTTGTCTCGGTTACCATTTATACAAAAAAAAAAAGTAATGAAACAATGATTGTACTTAGCCTTTCAAGGGTTCAACCAGCTTTGCATGTATGGTAATTTTTATAACTCCTCTGTATGTTAAGCCATTATTTAGAGGCCTTATGTTCCAGTGAAGCAAAGAGAGGGGGGGGGGGAGACAAAATTTAAATCGTTTGAGTTTTTGTTCACACTAGAGGGTTTAATCAAGATCTAGTAGGACCTTGACAAACTGAAACATTGGGCACAGAGCATCAAAAGATGTATCAGCAGAGACAATTGGAAAATCCTACATTTGCATAGGATTCTGTTTCTTCTCAATGATTAAAAAGTTACGTAGGAAAAAAAATAAAGTCATTAGTATAGGATGGGGAGAACTGTACTGACAGCAACAAGTGAACATTTTCTGGCTGTCTTGATCATAAATTGAACATTATTCATGATTATGATACAGGTTCATGAACTAACAAAGAAACAACAACACAAATATAGTCCTAGTGTCAAACCTTCAAATGCTCTGAATTCAGCCATGTTTCTTTGCTTTTCGGTTGCCACAGCAATGGGAGGGGAGAGATGCATTATTATAGTTTAGTCAAAACAATAACTTTCTTGTGGGAACCAAGGTCAAGCAGCCTTAACATTTGGCGGACTGGAGCTACCGTTAGGAAGCCCGCTAAAGGTGTTAATTGGGGATAGTGCAACCTTTTGGGGGGGGCAACTTTCGGCCTTGATTTGACCTATGTTCGTGCTGATATTATGTAGCCATTAAAAGTGTTCTTTGAGGAAAGCAGTTGTCTCAGAGTTCTTTCTACTGGTCTCCTCTGTTGGAACCATGACACCTAGACTGTATCAACTGTGAATGAATTCATTGTTCCTCTTCATTCTGCATTGATTGTACTGTGCTTAGAATATTGCATTCAATTCTGGTCATCATATTCTAAGAAGGATATTGACAGAACCAAGTGGATAGAGATAGTTGTCTTCATGTATCTAAAGGCCTGTCTTACGATATAGAAGGTAGAGAGAAATTTTCAGAATTCTTTCAAAAGATAGGATAAGAACCAATATGTTTCAATTATATGGAAATATATATAATCTGTATATCTGGGAGAAAATATCTTTACAATAAAAGCTTTTCAACAATAGAACAGTCTGCCTCAGGAGGATAGATTCTCTTTTGCTGGAAATGTGACCATCTGTTAGGAATACTGTAATAGGGGATTCCTGCACAAGAGGGAGTCCCAAAGCATCTTCCACTTAAGCAGACAGTAAGATCTCAGCTAACCTGTGATCCTCAAAAGAACAAGATTTTTTTTTAAAAAAACTCTTTTATTTGTGGTGCCTTGAGAAACAGAAGTAGAGATAAAAGCGTGTGTGACTGTTATCATTACTTGTAATGCTTGTTTGTTTGTACCTGAAAACTAACTGACACATATTAATAACAAGTCAATGCTTTGAAGTGATGCTCAAAGAAAAAGTGCAAGTATTGGAGGAGAGGCACCTTAATTCATAAAAGAG